GGACTGAATTTTCCCATTCAGTCCCACATCATCAGTGGAAGATGGAAGGAGTGAGAAGAAGATCACTTGAGCCCCAGAGTCTTTCACCATCCGCCCCAAGGCCCTGTAGTCTTTCTTCATCCCCCTCAGACTGCGAGAATCAGCTTCCCCCTCACCCGTCTGGAAGACCAGCAGCGGGTAGTAGTCTGTTGGGTGCACCAGGTTGGGGAGCACCCTGGTGATATCCCTGATCCGGGCTCCAGGCAGACTACACACTTCCCTATGATGAGGGTCAACTCTGCATATCGGGCCCTCTGTTCCTTTCAGAACGGAATCACCCACTACAATGACCCTTCTTTCTTTCTTATCAGAGGCAGTCTTGAGGTGTGAAACCAACACACGTGTACCAACACATGTTTCAGCTATTAACAAAAGGCGTCCCACTGTTCGAGAAAGGAGATACAAGAGGTATACGCCACGGTCTACCCTATGGTTTTACCTGCGGGATCACGGAGAAGACATGACAAAGTGGGATGGAAAACTTACTTCAGTTTTGGAGGAATGGGTGAGTGAATTGAAAAGAGGAACAAAGGCCAAGACTGATCGTCCCATGAGAGCTACGGCTTCAGTCTCTGGTGAGCAGTTTCCCAGGTGGAGTGGAAGAGCTGATTTTACTCCAGCTCCTGTGATAAAGAGGAATAATCCCTTTCAACATGACTTAAGCGTCCAATCCTGTGATGACTATTAGAGGGGCCCTGCCTCCATTCAGGTGGAGGTAGGGGACAACCGGATTTACTGGACTGTGTGGATCAGATGGCCTGGCACATCAGTCCCGCAGAAGTATAAGGCTCTAGTAGATACCGGTGCGCAGTGTACCCTGATGCCATCAAGCTGTCAAGGGGTGGAACCCATCTATATTTCTGGAGTGACAGGAGGATCCCAAGAGTTGACTGTATTGGAGGCTGAAATCAGCCTGACTGGGAGAGAATAGCAAAAGCACCCTATTGTGACTGGCCCAGAGCCTCCATGCATCCTTGGCATAGACTACCTCAAGACAGGGTACTTCAAAGACCCAAAAGGGTACTGATGGGCTTTTGGTATTGCTGCTTTGGAGACTGAGGAAATTGAGCAGCTGTCCACCTTGCCTGGTCTCTCAGAGGATCCTTCTGTTGTGGGGCTGCTGAAAGTCGAAGAACAACAAGTGCCAATTGCAACCACAACAGTGCACCGGCGGCAATATCGCACCAACCGAGACTCCCTGATTCCTATCCATCAGCTGATCCATAGACTGGAGAGTCAGGGAGTGATCAGCAGGACCCGCTCGCCCTTTAATAGCCCCATATGGCCAGTGTGAAAGTCTAACGGAGAGTGGAGACTAACAATAGACTATTGTGGCCTGAATGAAGTCACACCACCATTGAGTGCTGCCGTACCGGACATGCTAGAACTTCAGTATGAACTGGAGTCAAAGGCAGCCAAGTGGTATGCCACGATTGATATTGCCAATGCGTTTTTCTCAATTCCTTTGGCAACAGAGTGCAGGCCACAGTTTGCTTTTACTTGGAGGGGTGTCCAGTTCACTTGGAACCGACTGCCCCAGGGCTGGAAACATAGCCCTACCATTTGCCATGGACTGATCCAGACTGCACTGGAACAGGGGCAAGCCCCAGAACACCTGCAATACATTGATGACATTATACTGTGGGGTGATACAGCAGAAGAAGTCTTTGAGAAAGGGAGGAAAATAATCCAAATCCTGCTGAAAGCCGGTTTTGCCATAAAATGAAGTAAGGTCAAGGGACCTTGCACAGGAGATTCAATTTCTGGGAATAAAATGGCAAGATGGACGTAGACAGATCCCCACAGATGTAATAAACAAGATAACAGCAATGTGTCCACCAACTAATAAGAAAGAAACACAAGCTTTCTTGGGTGCAGTGGGGTTCTGGAGACTGCACATCCCAAATTACAGTTTGATTGTAAGCCCTCTCTATTATGTGACCCGTAAGAAGAATGATTTTAAATGGGGACCTGAGCAACAACAAGCCTTTGAGCAAATTAAACGCGAGATAGTTCATGCAGTGGCCCTTGGACCAGTTCGGACTGGGCCAGATGTAAAAAATGTATTGTACACCACAGCTGGGGAGAATGGCCCTACCTGGAGCCTCTGGCAGAAAGCTCCAGGAGAGACTTGAGGTTGACCCCTTGGTTTTTGGAGTCGGGGATACAAAGGATCCGAGGCAAGCTATACCTCAACTGAGAAAGAGATACTGGCAGCCTATGAAGGTGTTCGAGCTGCTTCAGAAGTGACTGGCACCGAGGCACAGCTCCTCCTGGCACCCCAGTTGCCCGTGCTAGGCTGGATGTTCAAAGGCAGGGTCTCCTCTACGCATCATGCAACTGATGCTACATGGAGCAAATGGGCTGCACTAATTACACAATGAGCTCGAATAGGAAATCCCAGTCATCCAGGCATTCTAGAAGTCATCATGGACTGGCCAGAGGGCAAAGATTTCGGAATGTCAGCAGAGGAGGAGGTGATGCATGCTGAAGAGGCCCCACCATATAATCAGCTGTCAGAAAGTGAAAAGCAGTATGCCTTGTTTACTAATGGGTCCTGCCGTATTGTGGGAAAACATCGGAGAAGGAAGGCAGCTGTATGGAATCCTCGATGACAAGTTGCAGAAACTGCTGAAGGAGAGGGTGTATCGAGTCAGTTTGCTGAGGTGAAAGCCATCCAGCTGGCCCTGGACATTGCTGAACGAGAAAAGTGGCCAGTACTTTATGTCTCTACTGACTCATGGATGGTGGCAAATGCCCTGTGGGGGTGGTTGCAGCCATGGAAGCAGAGCAACTGGCAACGTAGAGGTAAACCTATCTGGGCTGCTGCACTGTGGAAAGATATTGCTGCCTAGGTGCAGAACCTGGTGGTGAAGGTACGTCATGTAGATGCCCATGTACCCAAGAGTCGGGCCACTGAGGAACACCAGAACAACCAACAAGTGGATAAAGCTGCTAAGATTGAAGTGGCTCAGATGGACTTGGATTGGCAACATAAAAGTGAATTATTTTTGGCCCGGTGGGCCCATGACACTTCAGGCCATCAGGGCACAGATGCAACATATAGATGGGCCCATGATTGAGGGGTGGATTTAACAATGGACACTATTGCCCAGGTTATTCATGAGTGTGAAACATGTGCTGCCATTAAACAAGCCAAACGGTTAAAACCTCTTTGGTATGGAGGACGATGGCTGAAGTATAAATATGGGGAGGCCTGGCAGATTGATTATATCACACTGCCACCAACCCACCAAGGTAAGCGCCATGTGCTTACCATGGTGGAAGCAACCACCGGATGGCTGGAAACGTACACTGTGCCCCGCGCCACTGCCTGGAACACTATCCTGGGCCTTGAGGAACAGATTTTGTGGCGACACGGCACCCCAGAGAGAATTGAGTCAGACAATGGGACTCATTTCCGGAATAACCTTATAGACACTTGGGCCAAAGAGCATGGCATTGAGTGGGTATATCACATCCCCTAACATGCACCAGCCGCTGGGAAAATCGAAAGGTACAATGGGCTGTTAAAAACTACACTGAGAGCAATGGGTGGGGGAAATTTCAAGCATTGGGATACACACTTACAAAAGGCCACCTGGTTGGTCAACACCAGAGGATCTGCCAACAGAGCTGGCCCAGCCCAATCGGAACTTTTACATATTGTAGAGGGGGACAAAGTTCCTGTGGTGCATATGAAGAATTTGCTGGGGAAGACAGTCTGGGTTATTCCTGCTTCAAGTAAAGGCAAACCCACTCGTGGGATTGCTTTTGCTCAGGGACCTGGATACACTTGGTGGGTAATGCGGGATGATGGGGAAGTCCGATGTGTACCTCAAGGGGATTTAATTTTAGGGGAAAACAGCCAATGAGGTTAACTGTATGTTGTTGCCTGCTGTGTAATAATTTAATAGCCCATCAACCAGATGTCTTCAGGCCACCAGCGACTAGCCCTGACTTCCCTTCAACCATCATCCCAACAGAGAGCGAACTTTGACAGAACCAGACAAGTTCTACAGTAAGGGAATGATCAGCATCAGCAGGCAACGACCCAATACTGCACACGGCCTCTCCTGTTCTGAAAGACTGTTACAAGAGATGGAGCCTGACATCATGGACCAGATGGACTCAGCAGCTTTATAGGGACTAGTCTTTGCACTAAGATAGAAGTGCACTGAGATCAGAGTGATGGTATATTGAAAATGTAGGATCTGAGCATGACGTGAATGGTATGGAATAAGGGGTGGATAATGTCCTGGGTTTAGCAGCAGCAGTCATTTTTTCTCCTTCTTGGTAGCTGGTGCAGTGCTGTGTTTTGACTTTCAGGCTGGGAACAAAGCTGATAAAAATGATGTTTTGGTTTGGCCAAGGACTTTGTGAGTCTCATGCTCTGCCAGGGAGGAGGGGAAGCCGGGAGGAAGCAGAGACAGGACACCTGACCCAAACTGACCAAAGAGGTATTCCATACCACAGCACGTCATGCCCAGGGGGGAACTGGGAGGTACCCGGAAGGACAGGGGGTCGGCCGGGTCGGACTGGTGGTTCGGCGCGTGGTATTGTACTCCTTTCCCTTGCTATTTTCTCTTATCATTGTTGTCGTTGGTGGTAGCAGTGGTGATTCGTATTGTACATTAGTTGTTAGACTGTTCTTATCTCAGCCCGTGGGAGTTGCATTCCTTCGATTCTCCTCCCCATCCCTCTGGGAGTGGGGAAGGGCGGGGGGGGGGCAGCCCCTGGGGAAGGAGGGGGGACGGACTAACGTGGGCCTCGATTGCTTCCAGCCTGGCACCACTCACTGGGAGTAAGTGCACAAGCTGTCTTGGTTGGGGTTAAACCACGACAGGCCCAAAACTGAACACAAGTGTCATGTACTATTCCCAAGTCCTGCTGGCCATCCTATTTCTGATAGAAGCTTTTGTATGTTTATACATAAAAGAAGACACATCTCAATTACCCACCTTGGATACTGGACCTATCCTCCGTTTTGGTGGTTTTATCTTTTTCTGCTGGGTTTGATGGGCAGTGACTGCTTGGTTATCCATAGATATAGTGGGGAGCTGTGACATTTTGCCAACAGCTGTAGATTTGTCTGCTGGTGTTGGCTCTCGGAGTTTTATCTGGGAGGAGGACTCCAGCCCAGAAGGAACAGGAACAGCCTGTGTTTGTTGTTGCTGTCGCTGGGTCAGCTGGCTTAGAACTGGGGATGGTTCAGGCTGGGATTTAAAGTCTGGTCAGCATTAAGAAAAAATAAACATCAAAGTTAAAGCATTAAACTCTGCTCTTCATGATTTGACTCTTTATGAAATAACCTGGGTGACTTGACACACTCAACAGCTATGATTTTATAGAGTGTGCAAGTTCTTTCAGACATCACAAGTTTCACATTGTATATTACCACTGCAATGCGCAAGCTGCACCTCACCTAAAAAATCCACTGTGCAGGCTGGAAGGGCTTACTCTCACTTGTCTGTAACTGACAGGCGAGGGTCAAAAAGGTAGATGACAAGGTGCATGGGAAGCTGCAGATCCAACCTTGCATGTGGGTGGACCAGCGCATGGGTAGCTCGAGATGGCGCAGGAGATGACAGTCCTGGTCAGACACTTCCTGATTGCCTAAGCACCCTTTTTTCCAACCAGATTTGCCTATTTCACATGCCCTTGGTCATTGTGCTTGTAGTAAGAGTAGTTAAAGCCCTTCCCAAATCTTCGCTCGCAAAGCCAAGCCATCAATAATGCCAACATTTTATATTCTCTACTTTAAACAAACAGCTGTGGGCTGGTTTTTTTTGTGTGCTTTTTTGGGCTGAGCTATTTGTGTAGGTTTGCTTTTTTTTTATTATTTTTCAAAAATATGAAAACAAACCTATCTATACAGTCACACAATATTATCAAACATTAGGCCTCAAAAATCAGATTAATCAAACACTGCGAGTCTCACTGTAATTAACTGCTGATAAATTGTGATTATTTACAAGGGGTCTGGAGTTGCAATTTATGGGTATTATGAGTTAGGATTTCCTACCCCTACAATGGAGATTTTCAACACAAATAGGAAGTCATCTACCATCTCAGTCTAGCTGAAAGTCAAGAGACACTGGACACTGCTGAAAGCCAGGCAGTGGATCAGAGCACTAGCCAACAACCGTAAGAGGTCCACAGCATGTGCAATATGAAAGTTTTTAGTTTATTCAGATGGTAAAGTCCATTAGAAATCGGCTTAAAATGTACATAAACTTTTCTTTTTTTTTTTTTCCCAGAATTGCTGTGTATAAAAGATTATAACTGCTACCAAATTGGCTGCTTATCTATCTGGAAGCATACACACGAGAGATACAAAAGCTATCACACTTCCCAATGAAAATGCTACCAGAAACTACACTGAAAAATCCAAGTTTGTAATTTTCACTGTTTTTACTAATTTTATTCAATTAAATTAAAAATCCATGCAATTATGAATAGACAAAATGGGTAACCTGCACTATTCTCAGCACGCAGACTTCACACTAGGGAAAGAACACTGAGATGTGATCCACATTATGAAGAAATTATATAGTACTCATTCAAAATTCATGTAATGGTAAGAAGAGAAAAACTGGGGGAAAAAAGACAAAATGTGGTACAACCTTATACTCATCTGGAAGCAGCATAGCCACAATGAAAATAAGTATTTTCCAACATTTGTTGAGAAACAAAGTCACATCAAAGTTCCACTTAAATATTCAATCATATTAAATCAAAGATGTCATTACAGAAAGGCTCAACAACTTCTAAAGATGAAATGGCATTTATAGATAGATTTAAGCCTATCAAAACTTAGTTTGTGATATACTCACAGTGTCTATTACCAGCAAGTAAGTGTAACTCCTACTATGTTGTAACCAGTTATATTATTTGGATTATATTTTTTAGAAAAACCTTTTAATTTAAGGCCATTTTAAACTGTCACTGACATTAAGAAACCTTACATGCTAAGAGAGAGAAAAAAGAGAGAGAAAACTATGTCACAACACTTACCAAACTGACTAAGGACTGAGGACTGAGTAACGGGTGGTTTTAGATCCCAGGATGATATGGTAGTTGTGGTGGTGGTAGAGCTACTATTGTTTTCTTGAGAGGTAAACTGACCCAATGCTGGAGATTTTAATTGGTCCAAGGTTTGGGATCCAGTAGAGTTTGCCAATTTAGAGGATCTGAGTTCTCCAAAGCCAGAACAAACAACTGCAGACTGCCAAAAGAGAAAAAAAAGAAGAGGTGAAGGAGTGAAGTGTTCAATAAATAATTTGAACATAACCATAGGGGATCAATGCCTACAGCTGCAATCTGGCAGCAACCAAAACCTCTTTATTCCTAGATTACAAATAAAGGAACAATGAAACATTCAGCAGTTGTAGCATATGTCCAGATCCTTTCTGGTTATCACTGCACAATGGTAAAACCCACAGGTTGAGAAAAGAACAGTTTAACAAAATTAAAGTACAATATTTTACTAATACTAAAGGGAAAAAAGGAAAAAGAAAAAAAAAACAAAAACAAACAAACAACCCCCCCCCAAAAAACCCCAAACAAACAAGAAAACAAAACAGCAAAAAAAAACCATGAAAACAAAACAGCAAACCAAAAATCCAACAGTGATGCATAATACAGTTGCTCCCCACCTGCTGACTGATACCCAGGCCAACCCAAGCAGCAATTTGGGCCTTCCAGGTAACTCCCCTCAGTTTATATACTGGGTATGACATGCTGTGGTATGGAATACCCCTTTGGTTAGTTTGGGTCAGGTGCCCTGTCTCTGCTTCCTCACGGCTTCTTGTGCCCCTCCTCACTGGCAGAGCATGAGAGGCTGAAATGCCCTCAGTCAAGAATAACTAAAACATTGGTGTGTTATCATCATTGTTCTCAGACTAAAGCCAAAACACAGCACTGCACCAGATACTCGGAAGAAATTAACTCTATCCCAGCCAAAACCAGGACACAACAATACAACTTCCACCACTGACTGCAACAATACTGATACACTTTAATCCATGCATCCCAAAATAGCATGTATTTACTAATAGTTGAACTGATTTTCAGAGAATACATGCAAATGACCTATTTCAAGCCCTCACAACTGACTTGGAAATAAACAGGTTTCCACAAAAAGCAGTCAGATAAGTGCTAGGAAATAACACACTGCAGTTTTCTAGCATAGAAGTATTCAGTATAAACAAGCAATTTCATCATTTCAGCATGCAGTAAACACATCTGCTCTCTACTCAAAAATTAACACAAGTACTTCGTGGAAACCAAGAAACAACTACTTCGCAAAGCCAGAAAAAAAGTAATCTTCTTTTATGTGTGAATGTAAGGAATGGAATTAATAATTCACTGCAACCTGAATTTTATAAATACTGAATCATCTCATAAATGATCACTACTGGAAAATCTGTTTAACCTGAAATATTTACTCATGAAGAATATTTAGAAAGCATAAGATAATTTTACCAGACTTTGAGGAGAATAAGAGTTTACAGCACTGGCGATGCCAGTTCCTGATGCCATCTGGGTGCTGTGCTGTGAATTTGTGAAGACTAGGGCTTGGCCAAAGGTCTGATGTTGTGAAGCCTCAAATGAGTTGCCTTCTGTCTCTTGGATAGAGGTCACAGGCTTTTGAATCACTGTTACCAAATCAATGCTATAAGAAAAAGCAAAGTTTGGCTGGAGTAAACTTGATGATTAGGCTGCACTGAAATTGAAGAAAGCACTAACAGTACTAAAGCTGCCATACCAGCAACAGAATTATTACTAAGTCTTTTCAAATGTTGCTTGTCTGCCATACAAAAAGAAGTAAAATAGAGGTTTTTGCCAGAAAGTAAAATTCTGCTAGCCAAAACCTTCCACTACAGTTAAAATATAAATTTTCTTTGCTCTCTTTTCAAACATTATCAAATTTGTAACATTATTATCACATAAATAATCTATAAGATTAATATAACCAAGTAACCAGAGACACATAAATATCATGTAATGATTTATGTTGGAAGGAACCTTAAAGCTCATCTATAGTTCCAATCCCCTGTCATGAGCAGGAAAACTTCCCAATAGACCAGGTTGCTCAAAGCCCCATTCATCCTGGCCTTGAACACTTCCAGGCAGCCACAGCTTCTCTGGGCAAACTGTGCCAGTACCTCACCAGCCTCATAGTAAAGAAATTCTTCCTTGTTATCTCATCTAAATCTTCCCTCTTTCAGCTTAAAGCCATTCCCCCTTGTCCTCTCACTACATGCTCTAGCAAAAACTCCCTCTCCAGAATTCCTGTAGGCCCCCTTTAAGGTACTGGAAGGCTGATCTAAGGGCTTCCCCTGAGCCTTCTCTAGTTAAACAATCCCAGCTCTCTGAGCCTATCTTCATAGAAGGTGCTCCAGCCCTCTGATCATCTTCATGGCCCTCCTTGGGACTCACCCCAAGAGCTTCACATCCCTCTTGTTGCCTCCAGAGCTGGATGAAGTACTCCAGGTGAAGTCTCACCAGAGCAGAGTAGAGGAACAGGACCACCTCTTTAGGCCTGCTGGTCATGCTCCTTTTCATGGAGCCCAGCATATGGTTGGCTTTCTGGGCTGCAAGTACACACTGTCAGCTCACGTTGAGCTTCTCATCAATCAACATCCCCAAGTCCTTCGCCTCAGGGCTGCTCCCAATCCTGTGTCTGCCCAGCCTGTAGTCCTGCTTGGGTTTGTGCTGACCCTAGTGCAGGACCTTGCATTTGGCCTTACTGAACTTCATGAGTTTTCACTGGCCCACCTCTCAAGCCTGTCAAGGTCCCTGCACATGGCATCCCTTACCTCCAGCACGGGATCTAAGTCCTACCTCTGTATAGGGTGGGTACGAATAAAGCCACACATGCACCAATCGAGTGAATGTGTGATCACATGAAAGTCACAAAAGCAGCAGAAATAAAAGCTAAGTTTCTCAGATGGTAGGCACATATCCAAAATTAATCTACCACACATAGGTGATCAGGATGAGAAACATTAATTATCTTATATTTAGAATGAATTGCTAACCACTAGCATAGGTTTATCTAAGGAAAACCAAAGCATTCAGACAATAAACCTACTCCAAAAACTCTGACTTCAGTTTATCCTAAATATACTTCAGGTTTCTGCTGAAGACCTGCTTCCATCACTTTCATTGGCATAGAAACCTTAATGCCTAAACATTTCTTATCTTGGCACATAAGAAAAAATATAATAATCACAAAAAGAACCACAAAACAACACACATAGCAAAAACAACCAAACCAACCAAAAAAAGCAGCACATTCATACCAAAAACCAAAACATCAGAATTTGATTCTTCTACAGTATTGTGGTTTAGACCCAGCTGGTAACTCAGCACTATGCAGCCGTTAGTTCTTACCATATACACACCCTCAAGTGGGATAGGGAGGACAATCTAAACAATGTAAACCCCATGGGTTGAGGCAGGAACACTTTAATAACTAAAATACAATATAATACTAATAATAATGATAAGGGCAATAACAACGGAAGAGAATAAAAAACTAAAAGGGAAAAAACCAATCAACCCAAGTGATGCACAATACAAGTGCTTACTACCCAACGACTGATACCCAGCCCAACCCAAGCAGTGATCTGGGCCTTCCAGGTGGCTCCAACCGGATTATATAGTGGGCATGATGTGCTGCGGTATGGAATACCTCTTTGGCTAGTTTTGGTCAGGTGTCCTGTCTCTGCTCCCTCCTGGCTTCCCATGCCCCTCCTCACTGGCAGAGCATGAGAAACTGAAAAGACCTTGATCAGGGTAAGCATTATTTAGCAACAACTAAAAAAGTAGAATGCTATGAATATTGTTTTCAGACTAAAGCCAAAACACAGCACTACACCAGCTACTAAGAAGGAAAAAAATAACTGTTAGAGCTGAATAGCAAGTAGAATCGCAACCCTGGACTTTAGCAGGGAAAACTTTGGCCTCTTCAAGCAATTGCTAGGGGAAATCCCATGGGCTAGGCTGCTTGAAGGTAAAGGGGCCCAAGATAGTTGGTTGACGTTCAAGGACTGCTTTTTCCGAGCTCAGGATCAGAGCATCCCGACACGTAGGAAGTCAAGGAAGAGGGTCAGGAGACCTGCGTGGCTAAACAGGGAATTGCTGGGTATGCTGAAGTGGAAGAGAAGAGTTTACAGGTCATGGAAGGAAGGGCTGGCCACTTGGGAAGAATATAAGGCTGCTGCTAGAGGATGTAGGAAAGCTGCTAGGATGACTAAGGCCTCCTTGGAATTAAAGCTGGCGAGAGGGGTCAAGGACAGCAGAAAGAGCTTTTTCAAATACATGGCAGATAAAACTAACACCAGAGGCAATGTAGGCCCGCTGATGAACGGGATGGGTGCCCTGGTGACAGAAGATACAGAGATGGCAGAGTTACTTAATGCCTTCTTTGTCTCTGTCTACTCTGCTGGAGGCAGTCCTGAAGAGCCCTGTACCACTGAGACCTCAGATGGAGATAGGTCAATGGAGCGGTCTGCCTTAGTCAATGAGGAATGGGTTAAAGACCAGTTGAGCAATCTAGACATCCATAAATCCATGGGTCCAGATGGGATGCACCCGCGGGTGCTGAGGGAACTGGCTGAGGTCATTGCTAGACCGCTCTCCATCATCTTTACCAAGTCTTGGGAAACGGGAGAGGTGCCTGAGGACTGGAGGAAAGCAAATGTCACTCCTGTCTTCAAAAAGGGCAAGAAGGAGGACCCGGGTAACTATAGACCGGTTAGCCTCACCTCCATTCCTGGGAAAGTGATGGAACACCTTATCCTTGGTGCCATCTTAAGGCATATCAAGGATAAGAGGGTTATGAGGGGCAGTCAACATGGCTTCACCAAGGGGAAGTCATGCTTGACCAATCTCATAGCCTTTTATGAGGAAATAACAGGGTGGATGGATAATGGCAGAGCGGTGGATGTGGTCTACCTTGACTTCAGCAAAGCGTTTGACACGGTCTCCCACAGCATCCTTGCGGCTAAATTGAGGAAGTGTGGTCTGGATGATCGGGTAGTGAGGTGGACTGTGAACTGGCTGAAGGAGAGAAGGCAGAGAGTTGTAGTCTATGGGGCGGAGTCTAGTTGGAGGCCTGTATCTAGTGGAGTGCCTCAAGGGTCAGTACTGGGACCAGTATTATTTAATATATTCATCAATGATTTAGATGAGGGAATTGAGTGTACTATCAGCAAGTTTGCTGATGACACTAAGCTGGGAGGAGTGGCCGACACACCAGAAGGCTGTGCTGCCATCCAGAGAGACCTGGACAGGCTGGAGAGTTGGGCGGGGAATAACTTGATGAAATATAACAAGGGAAAGTGTAGAGTCCTGCATCTGGGCAGGAACAACCCCAGGTTCCAGTATAGGCTGGGGAACGACCTGTTAGAGAGCAGTGTAGGGGAGAGGGACCTGGGGGTCCTGGTGGACGACAGGGTGACCATGAGCCGACACTGTGCCCTTGTGGCCAAGGCCAATGGCATCCTGGGGTGTATTAGAAGGGGGGTGGTTAGTAGGTCGAGAGAGGTCCTCCTTCCCCTCTACTCAGCCCTGGTGAGACCTCATCTGGAATATTGTGTCCAGTTCTGGGCCCCTCAGTTTAAGAAGGACAGGGACCTGCTGGAGAGAGTCCAGCGCAGGGCAACTAAGATGATTAAGGGAGTGGAGCATCTCCCTTATGAGGAAAGACTGAGGGAGCTGGGTCTCTATAGTTTGGAGAAGAGGAGATTGAGGGGTGACCTTATTAGTGTATATAAATATATAAAGGGGGAGTGTCACGAGGATGGAGCCAGGCTCTTCTCAGTGGCAAACAATGATAGGACAAGGGGAAATGGGTACAAATTGGAACACAAGAGGTTCCACTTAAACCTGAGAAGAAACTTCTTCTCAGTGAGGGTGACGGAACACTGGAACAGGCTGCCCAGGGAGGTTGTGGAATCTCCTTCTTTGGAGACATTCAAAACCCGCCTGGACACGTTCCTGTGTAAACTTATCTAGGTGTTCCTGCTCCGGCAGGGGGATTGGACTAGATGATCTTTTGAGGTCCCTTCCAATCTCTAACATACTGTGTGATACTGTGAATCCAGGACAGTGTCCACCCCTCATTCCATACCATTCACACCATGCTCAGGTCCCATGTTTTTCAGTATGCCATCGCTTTTTTCTCTTGATATATATATATGTACACATACATACACACACACACAAAGAGACAGATATCATTCCTCAGTCCATGGACTACCCCTATAAAGTTTGTTGAGACCATTTAGTCCATGATGTAAAGCTTCATCTGTCGCAACTGTCCTTCAGAAGAGAAGAGATGGTGTGTGGTGTTGTATTGTTGCTGGCTAACATCACTGTTGAGCTTAGTTGGATTCATCAAAGCTCATTCCTTGTTGGGGTGATGATCAAAGGGAAGTTGGGTTCAGTCAATGGTGATCTGATGACAATACTGGGAGACTCATGCTGCTGCTGCTGGCTTTCCATGACTTTATTCTCTGTCGATGATCATGACAGCACATACATTATTTTCAAAACCCAGAGTGGCAGACATGGGCATTTAGCTGTTCTAGAAGTGCTACATAACAGTCAACAGCATATAATTGAGTTCATTGGCTGTTTTCCCCAAAATAAAATCCCCTTGAG